AAACATCAAACATTTATATTTTTAATAATTTATTAAAATTGATTCTTTAAAATTATATATATATCGCTAATTATGACAATATTAGTAAAAAACAATATCAATCCCTTAATGCAACAGAGTGTACAATATTTTTTTTATCCCATTTTTCGTCAACACAAACAAACTGGATGATGGTTCGAAAGCACGCCACGTATAATTGTCCGTATGAAAAACATGTTATGCTAAAATCTAAGCCACAGACAGACATAATTTGGCCTTGAGACTTATTGATAATCATTGCAAATGCCAATCTAATTAGAAATTTAAGGCGTTTAAATTGTATTGGCACATCTGTGGGTATAATAGGGATTCGTGGTAATAATATATTTTCACCTCGGAATTTGCTATTTAAAATGATGGTTTCGATTACTTTTTTAATGACTAATCGTGTTTCGTTGAACAACCGTGGTTTGTTCAAATTACAAAGCAAAATAATCGGAGATCCAACCTTCAGTTGTAAATTATGCAGTGGCATACCTGGTAAATCCAATGAGTTTAAAAACTCTGTTCGATAATTTACAGCTTCAGTAGCATCGTAAACTGTATCAATAGATTTGTATGACACCAAGTCTCCTGGTAATAAATGTTGTATCTTGAGATTCAATTCGTTGACGTCCACATTTTTTAGTGTTAAAATTGCTCTTTCTACCTGTTGCGGGATCTTTTTGTTTAATATTTATGCAATACCCACCATTTAATACCAAAAATAAAATTAATAGTTTTGAAATAGTTTTATTTAATAATTAATTTTCAGTTGCGCGGTCATCGACCTGGTCAAAAATTATTCAATTAAACTAAGATTTATTAAACAATAGCACTTCTCCAAAATTTTTTTTCATAAAAACCTTCTCCTGGCAATTATGAACAATTAAAAAAAAATTTGAGCCAAATCGGCCCAGCCGTTCTCAATTGATGAAATGTTATAGATTTTTGGCTCCATTTTTATACATATATATTTGGCTATATTTAATATATTTATTCTCCTATATATAAACTGTTTTAAATTTTTATATTTAAATAATTTATCTGTTACAAAAAGAATGGCCCATAACAGTAATTTAGTGTTTTTATTGGACTATTTAAGAAGAAAAAATCATATTATTACATATTTAGAAGTTTAAGGAATATTTAGAGAATATTTTAGAGTTTTTTTAGAGCATACGATCTGCATATTTACAAGTTTAAGGAATATTTAGATATTACTTTAGGATTTTTTTTAGAGCATATTAGCATCATATTTTAAACTTATATGAACCTAAAAATCCCCTCTTTATTCATAACCTTGAAGTTGTATGATCTGTTATGTTAACTTATGTATCTTATGTTGAGTTGAATTTAATAATAATAAAACTATATATTAATAAAAAAATGAATTTAATTTAAAATAAACTATAAAAAAATTAATTTGTATAAGAAACCACTGTAAAATATTATAGTTGATTTATTACATTTTAAAGCATTCATACAACCTTTAAACCATATTAAAATGAAATGTTAGCATAGATTACAAGTTAACAATATTATTATGATAAATAATTACATAAAAGAGCGGTAGTATTAAAATAAAATACAATGAAAATATATATGAATTATAAAATATATTAAGCTTAAATACAATTATTTAACATGTATAATTTCCAATGACAAGAGTGCTGAAGTCCTAATATATTATATATAACAAAAATTTTAAAATTAGGTATAAAAGTGTAATTAAATATAAACTGGTTATATATTATAACACACAAAGTAACTTTGTAAACATATGTTACAAATGGCTACAAAATTCACCATCTTAAGTCTTAACTGCACAGTGCACACTATTTCAATTTTTTTTTAAACTTTGAAAACGCATAACAAAACGTTAAACGAACAACGAATTTAAAATATATTGGTAATCAATTTATATAATTATGTGTGATGAAAAAAGATAGCAGCACCATTCTTATCTGCTATCTTTTTCTAACACGCTATATCTGTGATGTTTGCATTGATCTTATGACTGGTGACCATTCCAGTTATCATATAGTTATGACACGTTCTCTTCTCTCATCAGCTCTCTCGCTCCTATACGAATTTACGTGCCACTCTCTGCCTCGTCTTTCCCTCCACCGTCGGTCATCCCTGGCACGTCAACGAATCTACAACCACGCATGAACGTCGCGAAATGGCACCGTGCCCGTATCGATTATTATTATTATTATTATTTAACGCGCACTGACGTCGTTGCGGTGGATGCCGGAGACAGCTACTTGCTGCCGGCTATTTCCTCGTGCGTAGATATGTATCGAGTGTGTCTACCGCCAGCCGAGTGCGCTCAGTTATTACATTACCGTGTCAGTTACTGTTTATATAAATATATATATATATATATACATATTATTTTTTGCTTTTAATTGTTTTTACCCTTTGATAACAGATTTTCCAGTTTTCAGTGCTCCGGCACACTCGTCAATAAGTTTTAAATGTGGCACCTCATGGGCACCGCTAGAATAATTATTACGGAATATCAAATATGCCAACCATGAAATCCAAAAAATTTGCGCAAAAACCTGACTGCGTCAATCATTATATAATTTATTTAACTATACTATAATTATTTAATTTACTATGTTATTAAATTTCATCAAATTAACTATGGGATATTATTTATTTATAATAATAATTTAATAAACTAATTATAATTTATATTGAAGTACTACAATTATTCGACCTTTTGTTTACCGAATTTTTAGATATTTTTGTTCAACTAGTAAATTTGGCTTCTTAATTTGATTAATACAAATGTATATTTTATAAATTATCGTGTATTACCACTTAATTGTATTGCTGTAATGTCCCCGACAATAGCAAATTAAATAAAAAAAAATTCAAAAAAATAGTAAATTAAACTTATACGCCTACGAACTATTACAAATAAACTTATTCTTATTATTACTAGCCGAAATTTGAACATTTTGAATATTTCGTAATTTTACCCACTTATATAGAATTACTTTATATTAATGCAGATAGGTTTACTTAAAATCTTTGTACATGCAAGGTCGCCGATGTTCCCTTTTCAAACCGACGCGTACATTGCAAATTAATTACTTTTTATCACCTAAGTACTAAACTAATAAGGTATTAATAATATTTATATAAATTAATACCTATATTATAATATTTCTTAAATTTCTAATTAGATATGGTATACAGGTACTCAACTTTGATTCAATAATAAACAGTAACTGTAAAAAAAAAAAAACTGTAACTGTTGTAAAAACGTTTTTTAATACTGATTTGTAGATCGTAGTGTAGTATCATTGTGATACCTACCTAGGTAATGGTAATCACAATTCATCACACTCACAACTTTTGAGTTTAGATTAAATATAAAATTTAGGTAAGTATTCATAGATTTAAAGCTCTATTTAATTTAAAGTTTTGCTAAAAATAATTTCCCCTCCTAAATTAAAGACTTGTTGTTAATATCGGCAACATTTTTTTTATTGACATAATAAAATTACGGAACAATTACGGTCGAAATGATATGAGAATCGCCATCTAGTGACAACAGCTTGAACCTTGTGGAAGTGAGATCATGGAATGTGAAATATTAAAATTTGTTACCGTAATTTTGCCTTGCTGGCGTTTTCTTGAAACGATATTGTTACACTATTGATACTATAACAGACTATAGATTTATATTTGTACGGAATACAACTCACAAATTAAAAAATAAAAGCTATCTATGAGCGCTTATCGAATGGAGATCAAAGAGGTGCTAAAATTATGAAAATATTCCCTCCGCGTATGCATGCACGACATAAATTATTTTATTTTCTATCAAATGATTGTATATTCATAAAAAAATATTTACATAAGTGTTAAAAATTTAAAAAATCATACAATTAACAATAATGAATATTATATGGTTAGTAACACTGCTGTTACCGTTGTCACACGAGATATTTTTCCAATGTTTGGACGTTCAACATATATGTTAGGCACAGAAAAACCTATGATTATTAAACATAGTTAAAGTTGTCTGCATAACAATACTGAATGGAGGGAATCAGTGGTGTAGTTACGAGGGAAGCGTAAGGGGTTTCCCTTCCAGATTTTTTTTAATAATTATCTATTTATATTCACATATTATAGTAAAATTATATTTTAATTTTACTATGATTAGGTATATTTTAAAAATTGAGTAACAAAATAATTTTCATTAAATACGGGACATAATACTAAAATGAATATAAATAAAATATAATTAAAATAAATAAAAAAATCAATTTTTTTTACATAAAACCGGTCTCGACTCATATCAAATATCCATATATTATTAAATCCCCTTTGAGTTACATTACAACGGACGTCCCTGACCACAAATATGTTAATGGAGGAATGTAACACAGTTGGTTTTCGATATAACAACAGGGTGGGTGTTCGTAGTCGACACGAAGATTCGCCTAAGTAAATATTGGACATACTTATAAGACACATTATGGAAGATCTAAAAAGTCAGGGTGATTCAGCCGTGATTATAAAAAAAAATATATAAAAATAGGAACCTCCGGGTTGTTTGCGCGCCCTACGGAGACACTGGATGCCAGTACCCCGGTAACAGGTTCGTAAATCTCGTAATGACACTGCCGGTACTGAAGCGTTTACTTCAGCTGCGCAACGTTGCCATGTTGTACTGCATATTTCTACAATCTCCCTGGATGCGCATCGTAAGCGCCCGTGACGGCAACGGTGGTTATGCTGCGACAACAAAGGGACGACGCTCGACCACCATAGCCCCACCGCTCTCCCCTTTTCCATTCTGCCCGCCCGCCGCGCGCAAACGAACACGCACACACGAGGAATCGTTCCGAATTCCCTCCTCGTGTTTCCAAACGGCTCACGCTATTGTGTGTGTGTCTGCCGAACCGTCCGTCGACGCGTCTCATACGGTCCTTACCAATTGTACGCAACGCTCCGTTAGCAGCAACCACCGGCCGACATCCATCACCGTCGTCGTCGTCGTCATCGTCCAGCGGTGTTCCAAGAGACATAGTATATATCACAGTAGACGCAAACATAAATATGTCGATCCAAAACCTCAACGTGTTTGGTAAGTGTTTAAGCGCGCGCGTCCATGGTTCCTTTGTTGTCATTAAATGTATCGCTCGCACGTGTGTCTCCGCGGAGCCGTCGCGTCATTCGTTGTCGTTCACGCTTAATTTTTTTCACGTCGTCCTCGGAACCGTGTTCTTCCATACACCCGTCCGCTTATTCCTTGGTCCTCGGCGTTTGCGCGATATTGCGTCGCCGATCACGCGTTATAATCAACGATTGCGTGGGTAGACTTTTTTTTTCTTTTTTTAATTAAAATCTTCGAAACGTATTTACTATCAATTTTATATTCTTATATTTTACAAGTGTTCGCACACGTGACGATTTCCTACGATTTTATCCGTGGCTGAAAACTGTCGCCCTTTACCATCATTGAAACGTTCGGTTTCACCATCTACAATGATGTAACATTTTATGCGGTTATCGGTATGAAGTCCTCAACTTAAACACTTTCAACCTCCGAGTAGAACATAATACATTTTATTTTCATGATCCATAATCTTACCGCGTCATCTCGACCTTGGATGAAGTATATAATAGTGTTCACTATTGCTTTTAATGATCTTTGTTCATTGCGTTATAGTTTAATAATAAGTTAAGTTTTTATAATGTTGCCTTCAAAATTATATACAATTGTATCCAGTTAATATTGTAGGTTATTATTTTTAATATTTTTGTAATAATTGTTGTAATCATCAAATCTTTCTATTGCTTCTTTGAAATAACTTATGGTTGGTATTTTATATTTAAGACCCGTTTGCGGATGCAATCAAGGGTGGAGAAGATGAAATTCAGGAAAGGCTTGTTCACATAAGAATTCAACAGCGTAATGGTCGTAAAACATTAACAACGGTTCAAGGTCTGTCATCAGAATATGACTTAAAGAAGATTGTGCGTGTCTGCAAAAAGGTACTATTACTGAACATTTTTACATGAAAATATGAATATGTGAATCCTACTTATATTTCATACTTATAACTTGTTAAATTTATAATATTTTTCTTGGTTAATAAATTGATAAAAATTAAAAATTAAATATAAATACTTAAAAAACTCATAAACATCAAAAATTTTTATTTTTTGTCATAAAAAAACTAATTGTGTTATAAATAATGCCCAAGTACCAATTTTCGTGTTCACAAAGAAATAATAAAACAATACTTGATGAAATGAATTACCATATAGATGTAGCTGACAACAAATTATTAAATATATTCTAGTTAGCTTACATTTAAAAAAAAAATTCCTTTGTCTTAAATTTTGGTTAGATATAGACAACATGTGTCTTTTAATTAATGAAAAATATTAAAAGTAGTATTCTCTTTATATGTCATATAACATACAAATTGAGAAATTTCCAATGATGTGTTAAGGATTTTGATAACTGATTTGAATTCTTTATTAATTTTACTTCAGAAGCATATATTCATTTTTATTTTATCTAAAAATCCCTCAATAAACACTATTGAAAATTAACATGATTTATTGACTTCAATATTTTCCCAACAAGTTCTAATGTAGTTTAGTTGTATCAGTTATACACTTAAATAATTTTGACATGATTTATTTTAGTATAGATAACATTTTTAATTTCACCAATTTTTTTTTTTTTAATAAACTTAATGATGAATTCAAATTAATTATAAAAATCATACTTATCATATCTTAATATCTTTTAAATATTTAAAATTAACCAAACTATAACTCTTGTATATTGTATTAAATTAAAAATATTTATGTCTACAGGAGTTTTCTTGCAACGGTACAGTAGTTGACCATCCTGAATATGGTGAAGTGTTGCAATTACAGGGTGACCAGCGAGAAAACATTTGCCAGTGGCTAACTAAGAGTGGTCTTGCTAAACCTGATCAACTCAAGGTTCACGGTTTCTAAAAAAAACAACTGAAGATGTTGCAAAACATCACCAATTGCTATACCTTAACTCATTCAGACAAATTGCGACAAATGAAAAATTTTAAATTAAATTTTTTAATATGCTTTAATAAATATAATATTAAATACCAGTGGTTTTTCCAATCAAATAATTGTAATTTAATTTTTAACTGTGTGAATTTTAATTAGCTTTAGAGCTATGTATATCAATACAGATGTATTTAAAAAAAAGTTTCATATGGTTCCAATAATTAAGTGTAAAAATAAGTAAAATCTGTATTATAATTTGTTCTACGCTTGTGATGTAATGATATTCTAAAGTTCATTAAATGTATGTTATTTTTCTTTAAGTTTATATATTATGATAAATTACCACGCCCTAAGTAAATAATATTTTATTATAATAAAAAACTATTCACTCATAGCCAATAAGTTAATGATATTGGTCATTAAATTACTGTGAAAGAAATTATTGATAAGATATATTCTTATATTTTTATTATAAACTAAAATATTTATTAATAATATATAATAATATAAATAAAACGTCCATTTATACATAAGTTGTAGATTGAAAATATTGCTCACTTAATTTAGCTAAGAATTTGTACTGAGAAATAAATAATCAAATTTAATGTTAAAATTAAAATCTCATACTAATTTTTTGAATGTATCAAAAGCTTTCTTAAAGAGTAAATGAATAAATTATAATAAACATTATTTTTTCCTTTTCATGTCAACTTAATTTAATAGTATAAAATTGATTATTAAAACTTTAAACTAATTATTTTTATCACTGCTTATGGAAATTGATCAAACTTTTATGTACAATTTGTCTATAATTTTAAACTAAAACAATTTTTGCATACACTATCTTTGAACAGTTCGTAGTACAGTAGTATCCGATTATAACACTCTTCAAGGGCCCTAGAGAATCTGATCATTACAACCGAAAGACAATAAATAACTTAAAAAAAAACTTGATTTTTTTGAGAAATCGGTTTATTAAAAAAATATTTTGTATTACAAATGTAAAATTATTTAAACCAGATTACATATTTATAAATAAAGAAAACCTACATATATTGTATATGTATTATAATACGTAGTATTATGTTAACCTCATTTTTTATGTTTACAATTTTTATGAAAAAAAAAAATCAGTTATAATACTTTGTATATAACTGCAACAATACAATTTATTTACATAATTAGCAATATTTTATAATCCCTTAAATAATTCTAGTGTATTAATACCGCTGTTTAACTAAACAAAAATACATACTTGATCAATTAGAAAATGCGTATAATGTAAGTGTTATACATGTATATTAATGATTAGATAATGATGTATCATATCAGACGAAATCCAATTTATTGTTTATAAGTGGATAAAAGAACTAATTTTCTTTTAAAAACTACATTGTTGTAACCGATATCGAAATATCCAACCAAATTTACTGCATATATGAACTATAAAATCAACTAAATACATGGCAGGGGATCTTTTCATCTGGAATTTCATTATGTTTGGCATCATAATAAGCGGATTATACTTTATTAATATATGCGTGTTTTTAAGCAAATATCAATGTCTGATAATAGAAACTGTATAACATTAGTTGGACATGCCACCGGATATATGTCAGAAAAATTTCATTAGGGACCTATAAAATTATTCAAATTTTTCGTATTAACTACAGTTCAAATCTTGGGGGTGCTACATTATGAACCCACACCCCTACCATTAAATTTATCTAATATTTAAATTATAGCATTATTATATTTATAATGCCATATACCTACCATTATACGAAGTGTGATTACTAAATAATAAAACTTTCACTTCCCTTCTATATATTCTTCTTCGAGTTCGATATGTAGCTTTATTTGTATTTTCCATTGATTGAAATAGTTTTAAAAAATGTTTTGTGTTCTTTAAACGCTCTTAAATTTTGAAGAGCCAAAAGTAGCATGAAATTAAGATATAGCTTATCAATATTATCATTCAATATTATCAATGGATGTAGATCCTAGTGGATTATTTCAAAATCATCAATATACATATATGAAAAATGGCATTACTAATTTATTTTGAAAAGAAAGTATTTTTTCTTTCCATAAGGATCCTTGAACAAAGTTGGACAGATTATAATTTTCATTAGAGACTGATGAATACATTAAATTATCATAATGTTAAATAACGTTTTTAAATGCAAAATTATATTGTTACTTTGTTCAAAGTATTTTTTAATTTGAAATTTCAATGGCATCAAAATCCCTTTAATACTAAGTTCATCATACATTAATTCACCACTATTACCTACCTAATAATTGTATTTCATTGTTGATCGTAACTCATTGCAATTTGTCACTTATGTTATTTGTAGCTAACCAATTATTTAAGACATGTTCAGTTTTACAATATTTAAAGGGATCTAAAATCCATGAAATAACCATGGAAAATTTAGGTAAAATCAATGGGTCTTTAATATCATTTTTAATCATATTTTTCAATAATAAAATGATTAGTTTTATGAGTTTTACTTCTATATCATCTTTAATATTAAGCACATCACTTCTACAAAAGTTATTATTATGCAAGTTTAGACAAAAATATGTAGCTAACCAATGAAACTGTTCAATACTTTCATTAAAATTAAGTACATTTTCATTAGGTATTTGAAGTGTTTGGTCAAATGTATTATTAACTATATTTACATCATCATGTGTACTGACATTATGTTTTAAATGAGAATTTAACTCTTAATTCCTACATTGTATTATTTCATTATTTTCTAATGTATCAGTATGTTTAATCAGAACATGTTTTTTTAAAACTACTTAAAGGTTGAAATGATTGACAATAATTATTTTATTTACGAATATAAGTGCTTTACAGACCAAGGATATATTTTATTTTAAAATGAATAACAAAAGATGCAAGTGTGTGTATTTGTTCTTCACGAATAAAACAAAGCATATTTATATTGGGTTAAAACTCAAAAAAATGTATATTAATAATATAATTTTTATTCTGTAACAAATAATAATTGAATAAAATTAAAAATAACAACTAACTTATATGCTTGTAATATTTAAATTTTTTACTAGACTGTCCAATCTATTGTTTTTAAAATTAATTATGACATAGGTAAATGAACTGTATTCTGATGACAGACGAGTGATAAGTTCATAACACAATAAAAATAAATACTTAAGATTTTAAGAACATTTTTGTATTAATATAAAAACATTTAAAAACTACAAAAATATATTGTAAGATTAAAGAAAAATCTTATCATGATTAACAATATCTCCTGTTATCATAAACTCTTAGAATATAAAAATAGTATTAACTATATAGTAGAACTAATAGTAATTAAGTAACCATTTTTAGACACATTATTACGGATTTTTACATCAGAGGATATTATAGTACAATTGTTAAATTTGAACATTGTATGATTGTTAAATTAACAATATATTAAATATTTCAAGAAACACTTCTTATTAATTCAACAAACTGTTTGTGAAATCAATATAATCATTGTTAAAGAAGTACCTTCTCCATAATCAAATTTTGATATTGTGAATTTGTTAATTTTACCAATGTTATTTCGTTCTGTGTTTATATGTTTAACCCTTTATAGGGCAGAACAAAAAAAAAATCATTAGATTGTTCTGAAAATTGGTATACATTCACTTTGGAATACTTTGATTATAAGAAAAATGTTGGAAAAATTTTTGTTTGTTTTGCATAGTTGGAAAAGTGGTGGGAAAATAGTTTCTCTTTGCTCCTTTACAACCATGGAATTTATCAAATGGGCAATGGTAATATATTTTCCACTAATGCGTTTGCTTAGAAAAATATAAAAGACTAATTCAAACTTATATAAATATAGTAAAAAAGTAAATAAATAATATGTTATTAAAACTTTAAAAATACAACTCTTCAAATAGTTTATAACATTTCTATAATGCACATCCCAGAAAAATGTATTAAATTCATAAATAATAATAAAAAAAAAAAAACCATTGAACTTATACTTACTTAGTTGGTTTATAAATTAATTAATACATTTCTAATAAAATAAAAGTAAAATAATAAATCTCATTTAAAAAAATAATAATCAATAAATTGGTATAATTTACATAATATTATTAAAATCTTTTTATTTCTTTATATGTATTGGTGTAAAAAATTAAAGTTGATAAAAAATAAATAATAATTATATATCTTTTAAAAATCAACTAATAAATTTATAATAAAATAAAAGTAAAACAACAAATTTCATTAAAAAAAAATAACATAATCAATTACCTACCTGGTATCTAGTTTATAAATTAAAATATTATTACAGCATTTTTATTTCTTTATATGAATGTAATAAAAAAAATTTGATAAAAAAAAATTATATATGATTTCAAAAATAAAACAATTCTCTTCTGGAATTTTCTAGATACATAATAAAAAGTAATAAAATATAATCAGTTCTTGGTAGGTTTGTGATAGGGTTCAAAACATTGTTTGCATAGTGTTATTTCACGTTTAGAACAAATCATATTTGATCTTTTTTCTTTAGCTTTGGTACTACACGTTTTACATTTTCTATACTTATCAATTAATTTTGGCATATGATCAACAACTGTAAAATTATGAGTGATAGAAAGATAATACAAATTTGATAAAATCATATAAAATAATAAATAATGTAATACAGGTCCTAGGTACATAAAATATACTAAATTGTATAGTACAATAATTTTGTACCAACTTATTTCTATTTTTTATAATATATAAAACAAATACATATAAAAATCTAATCAAAATGTTGAATAATTATAAATTAAAATGAACTTTGAGAAATAGAAGTAATGTTGTTATATGTTTGTTCAATATTTGCTACATTAGGCCTTTCAGCTTCAGCCATACTAGAACCTGCGTGCGAAAAAATATTTTAATTAAATATAATATAAAATTAAAAAAATAATTATTA